GTCCTGTGGCCTCTGGAACGCCTTCCCCCCGAGGCGGTCTTGGACCCCTCGACGGTCTTGCGCCCCTCCGAGTCTCTCGAGGGCGGAGGTCCGGAGTTGTTCTTTGTTCACGTTGTGGCGGTCCCGGGATTGGACTTCCTGGGAGGCCGTATCTTGGGCCACGACCCCCTCGACATTCCCAATCCGGAGGACTGGGTTCCCGAGGGGGTGTGGATGAGGGGGAGGCATGACATTCTCCCCGACTTGAGGCTGGAGGGGAACCAGAGTGCCGAAGGCACCCGGGTTCTGGGTGAGCGTCTGGATGAAGGCGGAAAACGACGATTGTACGTCGATTTTAATTACCGGAGGGCTAACTTGGTTCTCGCTCCGGTCCTTTTTCTTAGCCCCGATGCCGAGGCGGGCATCGGGGGCATTCTGTTGAATCTGATGGCGTAGGTCGACAGCCGTCTGGTCCAACCCGGCGATGACGCCGCCCCCGGGAGCCCTGTTAGAGGCTTCGGGGACGTCGACTTCGCCGAGGGCCAGGTTCCTGTCCTCAACATTCTTCGAGTTGGCACGAGTTGTTCTCACCATTTTAGCTAGGTGTTTTTTGTTTGGCGAGGGGGAGGGTTTCTTACTTGATTGTTCGACCTCTCAACGAGAGCACCAAATGATGGATAGTATACCTGGGGGGTAGCTTATCCGAGGGGTTATCGCGGGGAATAACTAGAGAGAAGTCAGAGCAAGTAAGTAGAGAGAGAGTATATTAGAAATGTATTCAGCGTATTTGCCTATGAGTTACAAATAGGGAAATGAGGTGCTATTTATAGTAGCAATAAATGCCAAATAGGGACACGTGTCAAGCATCCATTGGCCGAGGGGTCACCTCAACTGGTTGGTGCTGGCAATCGCATGTGGCCGCATTTAATGCGGCTGTTGGATGTGACGTCGTACTTGGTACGGTGATCCATGCGCATGTGGAGCGGATATTATGTCGGAAAGGTGCCCTCAACTGTAGATGATTAGCCGAGGGCTCTGAGTATCGGGGACCTCCTTAGTGCCGAGGGCTCTAGGTGCCGAGGGCTACTGATTTTCGCCGTTTTCTCCCAGTAACTTTGTTTTCGTGATTTGGCCCTCCTGTGAGAATTGGAGCCTTCGGCCAGGGGGCCGAAAGCACCCCTAGTGCGCACTGTGGGCCGCTTGGTACTCTGGGCGCTGTGATTTGGGCCTATTCCACTTCACTTAAAAATTTTACACTCTCTCCTTATTTTTAATATATTCCACCATTATTAATTTATTTAATTTGAAAACGGAATACTCCATATAAAATCCACATTTGACCCACTATAATTATTTATTGTGAAAAAATAAAAATGTAATTATTTTAAAAAAATTGTTACATATCCTTAATTCAGAGGGAAAATGTTTTAAAACAGATAAAATAAGGTAAGAAGGAAAGAAATGGTAAATTTTGAAGTAACTAAACATATGCTTCATTGAAGTAAATTTTGATATAATTTTTTTTATAAATAAATTAAATTTAATGCATAATAAAGGAAAGTAGAGAGTTGGGGGTAGTTGATGGGGTTGGTTCCAAGTAAAATGTCACTTGGCTTTTTCTAATTGGTTAGTCACAATGCAATTGTCAGCTCCTGTTAATGACTTTCCTTTTTAATCCATTGTGGGGATCAAGTGGGATCACCAGCTCTCGTTCACTCGCCTTTTCCCAAATCCCTAATTTTATAAGTTCGCTCTGGTAACCAGCAGTCCTTCATTCTCTTCTTCCCTTTTCTTGTTTTTTCGGTTCGGTGCACATGTCGACGAGCTCTAGTCCTTCTGACCCTTTGGTCATCGAACCACTTCGGGGTTCTGAGATGAATGCCACCGTTGATGATAGCGTGGGCACTAGTGTCGTCGCAGAGACTGTGGTCGAGGATGCCCTCTCTAATAGTGGTTCCAAAGATGCCCCCTCCAGCGATTCTTCTAGTGAAACTTCGGGCGGTGATTCTAAGAGTGCGATATCCGGTGACGATATGGCAGTGATGAGGAAAGGCCCTCCCGATGACACTCTTCGCCACCACTTAGATTTGAGGTCCATTCGAAAGCGGAGGCAAAAGTTCTCCTCCAAGCTTAGGGCCCAAATTCCTGCCCTAATCCCTAACCCGGTTGATTTTCGTCTTCACGTTGGTCTGCATCCATTGCGCCACCGTCCTGAGATGGTGGTGGTGCATTTTGATTCTGTCAAGGTCGGACTTAGGTTCCTGTTGCACCCCTTTTTTGTGGCCTTCTTCAACCACTATGACATAGTCCCGACTCAAATAATGTCGAATTCTTACCGGGTCATGGCCGGGTTCATGTGCCGCTGTGTGGACGCTGATGTAGTGCCTGATTTGGACCTTTTCCATCATTTTTTCAAGGTCGCCCCCAACAAACTGATGGATTCCTGGCCGTGAGTGCCCAAACGAGACGGATCCTTTTCAAGGGGAATCTTACTTCCATCAAGGAGTGGAAAAGACCAATTTTTCTTTGTCTCTGTTCTGGATGGCCTTATGACGAATAGATAGAACGCTTACCCTCCCAAATCCACCGAGTCATTCGTCTCTGAGGAGCTAGAGAAGAAGATCATTTCAGTAGAGAGAGCCAAAACGCTGGACATCATGGGTTATTTAACCCCTGTTCGGCTTGTGGACGTCGGGATAGGTACCACCCGAATTCCTATGCTTCTTGACTGAAAACCAAGTGTTATGGCTCGGGCGGTCCTTCCCGTGCGAGAAACTTACATATCATGCTTTGTTTCACACACGGTAACTCCGCTCGGTACTAACATTTTCCCTTTCTTTCTTTCAGCTCCCAACACCGAAGCAAACATGAACAGGAACCGTCTTGAGGAGATGGGTGCGGCCAAGAGGAAGAAGCCTTCCAAGAAGATGGCCAGGACCTCGGCCTCTGAAGCAACTCAACCGGCAGCCCAGCCTGCGGTCCAGCAGCCCGTGCCACTTCAACAGATTCCTCTCGAGCAGGTGAACTTCGATGCCATGGCGGTGGACCAGCCATTTGGGGACCTGCATTCCAATCCTCTTTTCACTGAAGCCCCGGGTTCGTCTTGTGCTGCCAACGTTGTGGCTGAACAGGCCAACATATCAAAACCTGTGGAACCGATCGTTTTGGAGGACCCGATCCATATGGTTATAGAACAATGGGGATGCGAGCCTGGTCGGGTCTGGAGTACCTCCGCCATGCTCAATGACTACCACCTTCTAAGGCTGACGTCGAGCAGGCTGAAACAGGGGTGGCCTTGGCCACTCTTAAGGTAAACTCCAACCGTTGGTTTCCTTACTCATCTTTTACGCCGTTCGGTAAATAACTGCCTTGTCCTGTAGACCGGCTACTATAGCATACAACTCCAAACCGCTCGGCTGAATAGGGAGGAGGAGTTGATCGGGGCTCGGACATCGACGGAGCAGGCAACTGCTGATGTGTTGCGGGCCGCTGAGGAAGAGCAGAAGAAACTCGAAGCTGAGCTTGGCCAACTCCGTGTGGATCTTGCCAGCTCTAAGGCCAAGGTTACCGCTGCTGAGGCCACTCAGATCATATTTCAGGAATGCGAGCCTCAAATCTCGAACAGCCCCCGGTATATTGGGCCGGACCTCAATATCCCATTAGTATTACTATGGAGTTTGTGGAAACGACATATTGATTGTGTCTTGAAGGAAAACTTATAAGCACCTCCAGATATAGTGTAGTTTGCAACTCTTTATTTAAAGGATGGAGAGGTGCCAAAGTGTAGCGGAGACTGTTATAGGGTTGGGTGAAGACTAATGTGGATAGCGTGGTAATGCAGTACAAGATTTTTTTAAACCACAAAAAGAATTGAAAATGTGTTGTTTTAGATTGTACACTTATACTTGCCTCAACTTATATTCTGGGGGTGGAATTATGGAAAGAATGGTACTAAAAATCTTAAACGAATTGTAGCGGACTTCTTGTCTTCAATGCTTGAAGTTGGGAAGTTGCGGACGTGAGCCGATAACCAAGAGACCCCAAGTTAGTCGAGGCATACTTATACACTATATGTATACATAGCATAAAGGTTGCTAATATATGTGTGGGCCCTGATCTTTTCCCAATATTGTGAGTCCTAAGGCAGCCCCCTCTTTCCCAATAACGGTTAGGTAGTGCAGTATATTTTAGAAAATCATTTAATTGTCTTTTCGATTGAATTTTTAGCTAAAATTTGGTATGTGACTATGTGTAAACTAGAATTAACGAAGAAGATGCTAAAAAATTCCATCAAAAGATTCCACCGAAAATTGCCCCAAATGGCAACAACCGGACAAAGGCTCATGTAAAACAGTAAAAGGGCTTATTTGCACTTTTTATGAAAGTTGGATGGCTTATTCGATAGTTCTCTCTATGATTATATGTAGGGATGGACTCGGGCCGGGTGGCCCGACCCGGAACCGGCCCGGGACCGGTACTGTTCCGGCCCGGCCCGACCCGGTGGCCCAGTCAATGACCGGTCCGGGTAGGCCCGGCCCGTGGGTTTTCCGGTCCGGGCTCGGGTCACCCAAAACAAGGCCCGACCCGGCCGGGCCCGAGCCCGGTTCGGGCCAAAAACATTTTTTTTTTCAATTTGTTTTTTCAATTTTTGGGTTGAGTTGGGTATTTTGGGCCATTTGGGGTGGTTTGGGGGTTGGGGATGGGAGGGGGGTTAATTAGGAAGAGGAAAACCAAAAAAAAAATTATAATGGGCCCGGCCCGGCCCGGCCCGGACCCGGACCGGACCCGGTGGTTACCCGGGCCGGTCCCGGGTCCACCATTTCTGACCCGCCGGCCTGCCCGGGCCTAGGCCCGACCCGGACCCGAGTCCATCCATAATTATATGAATGGTTATGATCTTATCTAGTACTTTTCTATATTTAGTCTACCATATAACAACTGTTTTGGCATAGTCGAGTCTAAATATTTTTGTATCGTAAGTTATCATAGGAGTAAGACCAAGCAATAAGTAAGCAAAAAAATATAAGTAAAGATAGCATCACCTTACTCAACATTGCAAAATTGAAAAGTTTGCGGCAACCGAAATCCGTACGGTCTATTGTATGTATACTCCGTAAGTCCGTAATATATATGTGGTGTCCGAACTCCAATGTTGTGCCAGGGAGGAATTCAGAAGAAAATAAGTTTTCTTTGTCACAGTACACATAAGTCCCATATCCCTGTTAGTTACGGAGTATTTAGTAATTACAAACCCAAAAATTATTTGACTAGAGCTATTTAACGCAGTTTCCCCCCTTCCTAAAGCTAGCACCTTCATCAACTAACTTCTAGAGTTCTAGACAACCCAATCAGAGTGAGTTTGCCACCATTAAACCTTATTATTCCCTGGACAATCTGGCTTAGCAGCTTCATGGCTGGAGCTATCTTCTTGTGAGGAATCTACTCCATGGGTAGTGTTTGTAGCTTCTTTGACATTAACATCACTAGCCACTCCTCTTCCAACATCACTCCCTGAATCCAATGCATCCTTAGTCACTTGTTCACTTCCAGCATCAGTTGTCTTAGTCAACCCCCCATGTGAATCTAGGACTGCTTTCATTTCTGCATATCTGGAAATCGCTTTCTGAATTTCATCATGAAGATTCAGAGCTTCAAACAGCATACCCTCATCATCGGAAGTGTTTTCTATGATCCTCTTAGTAACAGCAAGGGACTGCTTGCAATTTTCCAGAATGCTTACTGCCAAATCTTCCTACAAAAATCGCAAACATGGTCTTTACTTTTTGTAGGGATATTACATAGCACTACTTGACAAAATATATAAATAGATCACCACAACACAATATTATCAATACATAATATAAGGATAGTATGACATTAACAGTATCAGTTTTCGCAGTAGCACCCTCAACCGGTGCCACCTCCAGCGGTGACTACTAGTATCCGCCGCCGACGGCGGCAGGTGCTACTATCCGGCTCCATCGCCTCTGCCGCTAGAGATCGCAACAGCAGCAGGCATACAGCTATTGCGCGGCAGCCACAGTAGCCGTCTTTTATTATAAAATTTTGTTCTTAGATGTCTAGTATCAAATTTAATAGAGCTTGATTTGTCAATGTGGATTTTGTCGAGTTCTTTTCCCAATTTTTTCAGAAAAAGATTAGGTTTTCACCTTTCTTGATTAGTTTCTTTTAGCACACAAAATGTCAATCAATACTATCGCATAGATGAGCAGTGAGACAATTATGATGGGGCATTAACCTAACCTTGATCGGTTTGGGTTCTACTTCAGAGTTCAGTATGCTACAAAAGATATCCAGATTGTTTCGTGCAATCACAAGGAATTCCCTCTTTTCTTCAACAGACCCACCACCATAAGTATGAGAACCATTGTGCTCTTGATTCCCTGTGTCAGGAAAAGGGTAATTTTCAGGTGCTGATATTGGCTGCTGATTGATGTAAGACTCCAAAGGGTATTGCATAGAGGAAGCGTTCCCATCTTGAATTTCTGGAGGTATCCTTGTCTTCAAGTTCTAAAAAATCAAAAGTAAAAAAATGTAATCAGAGTGCCTATAAACTCAGGTGTACATGAGAGAGAATGTGCACACAGTTACTTGGAGAATTTAATGTTCTCATTTTTTGAACTGATATTTTTTGCTAATAAGGTTGACTGGATGGTCCCTCCCTGTTTCCTTTCTTAGCATTATTAAGCATATCATGATACTGGCAACTTGTGGAGAGCTGTTAACTCAAAACCAAACATCATCTTTCTAACAATGCCCTCATCAATGCACAAAAATTTATTACCCCCTCTCCCCCTCCCCGCATTTCATAATAAACTTTATGCATCCCTTAAATGGCAGTCTAAAAAATGAACTTCACATTAGCTACCAAAAAATAGTTATTAGAGCATCTCCAATGGAAGAGTGGATTCAATGCGTGTCCCTAGAGCTGCCTTGGACTTTATATTGAGTCGTACCACATATGGAGTGAAGTTTAAAGCCTTGGTTTTCCAGTTTTCTACAAAAAACGGCTTTTGCGTGCAAAGCATCTCAAAGATTATGAGCCCATTTGGTAATGCCAAAATCGGCTCTATCGGCTGATTCTGCTATATAATATATGAAATTCCAGCTAAAGTAGCCGATTTTGCTGATTTATGGGGGGGGGGGGGATATTTAAAATATAAATTATTTATACAATGAAGAAAAATCCATCTTCTGTTTTTGCCTTTTTTGATATCATAGATCGATTCATGTTAGCCGACCCCAAATTCTTTTGGGATTAAGGCTTGGATGTTGTTGTTGTAATGAAGAAAAAATTATATGAAAAAATGGTTAAAATGGCCCTCTATCCTAACTTCAGCCAATACGGACACAAAAATAACTCCAACCTTACTTTCATTATTACACAATTCAGCGTGCGAAATCAAAAGTTACGCGTTTGGTAAAAACGGTGTCTGATAAGCCAGATAAGCTGAAAAAGGGTTACCAAACGAGCACTATTTAAGTTTAGGTTTTGAAACAGGGTTCCTTTTCGTAAAATTCTCTCATTCATTTGCATCTCGGAGGAGCGACAAGACTTGGATGAGGTGAAAGAAGAACATTGGAGATCTACTTACTACAGGAATGGATAAAGTTTGGTAATTTTTGCAACTTGCTTAGATGAGACGCAAGGAGGTAACCATATAAATTATGGAAGGAAAGGTAGAGGAAGGTAGGGGGTTATACTTGTTTAGATTAGATGAAAGAATAAAAGGAGGTCATAATAAAACGGTTCTTTCTTATTGATGATTAAATAAGTTACTTTATGTCTTAATTTCAAAAAAAAAAAAGAGGTCAGATAAGATTAAGGGAGCACAGATGTCCCCTTTCCTAGCTTCCCCGCACCTTATTTCTATGATTTGCTAAAATTTCAATTTTTGGTGCAAGGGAGATCAAATGATATTAATACTCCCTCCGGTCCCTATTAAAGTTCTCAGTTTGACTTCACACAGATTAAGAAAATAAATTTGACTTTACTGTGGAGTGCACTGTTTGGACACTGTTTGACACTGTTTTGCACTGTTTTGTTTCCTACAATGGAAGTGTGAAATTAAATAAGGGAATCCCAAAAAGGAGTAGTTTTGTAGCACAAGAAGGCGTCTGTATAATTTTTTTCCCACGTCAGCCCTCTTCCATGATATCTACCCTCTACATTCACATCTGGAACATCTTCTTCTAAAATGGTAATCACCTACATTCTATTTACTTGATTGCCCACGTTGTAGTTACGGAAAAAATGTCATAGATTAGAGCTTTGAAGAAAAAAATGTTTACGATCACAAGGTAAGAGTGTATATAGCACAAAAGGGCGAAAGGGGTTAGGAGACCTGGAAGATTGATTTTGTATCGTACCATATAAGTTTGACGAAACACGGGCAAGTAATTGAGATCTTCAGACTCACCCCAAGCGCTGACCAATTGGATAGCCCGGACCCGATTCCCATGGTCAGACTTCGGATCATCAATCATCTGCATCATATCATCCAGAACTTTCTCAGACGCCACCTCGGAGAAGACTTTCTCGCAATTGGAAGTGCATGCCTCGAGCAAATCCAGGCTCAATCTCTGACTCACCACGCTCTTCCCCTGCTGCAGCTTCCTCTTGATGGCCTTGACGACCTCGGTGCCGTTGAACTCCTCGCTGCTGATCATCGCGCAAATCCGGAGATTCAGCCCCCAGTTGGCCTCCTCCATCGTCTCTAACGTCGCTTCATCCACCATCTTCGACTCTGGTGTCGGTGCTTGTAGCATCTCCTTCACTTTGGTGCTTAGCATCCGGCTCATTTGGGCCCCTCCGGTCTTCAGTCTCTCTCCCAGAGACGATGACGCCAGTTTGAGCTTATCAAATTTATCCATTTTGTTAATCCTTCTTGCTTCAGCTTCCTGTTTCAGTTGTTTGAGTGAGAAAGTATTTGATGGAGTTGCCGGTCAGAGTAGCGGGAGGAACCCTTGCGATTTCCCTGAAAATTGTTGCCGAGGAAAAATCAACGGATTTATTTTCTGTTCTGACCTAGATCGGGTGAGGTAAACTATTCACGTGAAATCTGGTCAAAACCTCTTTCACTATCATCTACCAAGACCCCAGATTCCTAAAAAAAAGAAAGAAAGAAAAGAAAAAGAAAAACACTATTTCCGGTTCAAGACCCCAGATTCCTGAATCACTATTAATGCACAAATCGGTTCAAACAGAAAAACAGAACCGGATCAGAAAAAAACAGAACCGAACCGGATGATATTGTAAATTCGATTTCCGGTTCCGTTTCAGTAAAAAACCGGATTGTTCGAGTTTGAATCGGATTAACCGGTTTTGGTATAAAAAAATAAATTGTAATCTTTTTAATATGTACTCCGTAATATATATTCTACTCCCTTCGTCCCATAAAATAGTTCCCATTAGAATTTGGATTGGAGTTTAAGAAAGTTAGAATAAAGTGAAAATGTATAGTTATGATTGAGTAAGAAAAAAGTGAATGAATGGTAGTCACACAAAACTTTCCAAAAAAGAAAATGTGAAGTTGTGAACTATTTTTTGGGACGGCCCAAAAGGAAAGCATGAACTATTTTGCGGGACGGAGGAAGTATTAATGTTTTATTCATCTATATATTCTTATTTTCTCGATAATAGAATTAACTAATATGAAGTATTTACTATTCTACACTCAAATTGCATCGATATTTACCGTATAAGACACTAATAAAAGTCAATAAATAAATAACAATAATAGTAATGTTAGTAGTAACAAATACCTAATTTTTACTAAATTATTTTTAGTATATTAAATTAAGGAAATGTGCAAATAAGTCCTCGAATTAATCGAAATAGTGCATTTGGAGAGGCTCTGTCTAGCCATCTCCATTTGCAGAGGTTCTCGGTGAAATTTTTTGATGAATTTTTTTCTGCATCTTCTTCATTAAGTCTAGTTTACCCATACCAAATTTTAGCTAAACTTTCAACCGGGAAGGCAGTCAAATGATTTTCTGAAATATATTGTGCTGTTTAACAGCGCAGTTATCTTCAAACATTTATTTGACTGCCTTCCCGATTGCATTTTTAGCTGAAATTTGGTGTGGGTAAACTAGACTTAATGAAGAATATTCTTTGAAAAACTCATCAAAAATTTCCACCGGTAACCATTCCAAATGGCGACAGTCGGACAGAGTCTACTATAAAATTGGTAATTTGCACTTTTTCGGTTAGTTCGAGGGTTTATTTGCCCCTTTCCCCTTAAATTAACAATGTAGAACCCGATTCTTCCGATCCGGTTCCGGTTCGATTCTGGATCAAAGTCGGAATATTTCCGGTCCTATTTGTGTTTTCGATTTTCTTGCAAATCCGATTCCAGTTCCGATCTGGTTCGGTCTAACCCGGTTCTGATGTGGTTGTATTTAGTAAAATGGGGGATGTGAATATACCAAAAATGTTAAAATCAGTTTGGGATATTCAAATTAGATTCTCCTATTTTAAAATCTAAGTTATTATACCAATAATGTTAAAATCAGAGGGTTTGATAAAAAAAAAGTGATTTTTATATAGTTTTTTAGGGAAAAGGGGCAAATAAGCCCACGTACAAACCAAAAAAGGTCGTCGTCATTTGGGGCAGTTCTCCGTAGATTTTTTTGATGAAATTTTTTGAGAATCTTATTCATTAAGTTTAGTTACTCATACCAAATTTCAGCTAACAATTCAATTGGGAAGACATTCAAATAGATTCTTGAGGGTAACTGCGCTTTTAACTGCGCGGATATCTTCAAGAATTCATTTGAATGGCTTCCCGATTGAAGTTTTAGCTGAAATTTAGTATGCGTAAACTAGACTTAATGAATAATATGCTCAAAATATTTCATCAAAAAATTCAACCGAAAACCGCCCCAAATGACGACGGCCGGACTTAACCTCCTATATAAGGGCTTATTTCTCTAGTTTTTTTATTGAAGTACAAAATTGCCCTTTTATTAAATAAAAACACCCTGAATATATAGGCTATTTTCAATGCACGTATCGTACAAGCTATAGAAATGTCGAGCCCAGGAGCTCTTGACTTAGGGTTGGCGAAACCAGGTTAGATGCGAGCAATCACTCCATCTATACATCATGGTTCTTCTGTTTGAGCTTTGTCTTGTTCGATCGGGTTCCTATTGATTTTGTATTTCTCAGTTTTTTACTCGTGTCTTCTACCTTCTAAATTTATCGCTGCAAATTTTCACCCTTTTCTATACAAAGCTGAGGTTGTAGAATTTATCACTCAGTTTATTAGGATTACTTCAACTCACATAGAGTTTTGACTGCGAAAACTTCCCAAACTTCTTATATTGTCTTTAAAAAATATAGCACCTAATCAACCAAATTAGTAATTAGTTAGGATAAGATGTCTAGTTGGGAACCAAGCTTCTCCTTTGCAGCCTTCTCAATAGCTTCTCATATGCTGCTTGTGACCTCTCTATCCTCTTATATTCCAAAACTTGTTCTGCAGTATTGGGTAATATATTATTATTGATTAGAAAGAACATGAACGGTTTTAAAATCATTTTATCTCTAAGACACATTATTGATTAGTACTAGTAATATATATTGTCTTGAATGCTCAATTGATTTTCTTTTAATCTGGTGGACAAATCACCAAAATGGGCAAGTGAGTGGGAACATTTTCCAAATTTGGTAAATGTCTGAGAACAGTTACCAAATTTTATTAATAACAATAGATATTACAAAACATAACTTAAAAACCCCAGAAAAATAAAGAAAACATACATTTAATTAATGACATAGAAGTAAAACCAGCCCCACAAAAAATATTTAGCCAGCTAACACTTGTGATATTGTATTGAGCTCGTTGTTGATAGCTGATGGCGGACTGATTCCATCATTTCGGGTGTTAAATTAAACGAGCTTAGCGGTACATCATATTATATCAAAACTTGAATACTTTGGAGAATAAATTTCCTACCGTTTTTGTTGTACTAAGGAGTCCACTTCTTTTACCAACTACGTATACGCAAAATATTATGATAAATCACTCACCGTGCATCGCACGGGTGTAGTACTAGTCATACAAGAAGCAAACTGAAAGTATCAACTCCATCAATAGTCATCAGATACTCTCTCTCTGTACACTTGTTCACCAAGAAAAACTCTCATGGGGGCTTCTTTCCTGAGGTGTTGCCTTCTAGAAATGCATATAATCTTTTCTGAAAAACCCGAGCTAATTCAACAATTTCTGACTCCCTAATCTGTTGTGTTATGCTGTCACAATGTGTCAAGCACTTACCCTTGTGGGATAACCTGCTTGCTGTGTTAACAGTAAGTCTGGCTATGTCCCTGCGGTTTGTTAATGCCAAGAGAACCAAGACACCGTACTGGGGATGCGAAGCAATTCGGTTGAGAAGAATAAGTGCTTCTCTAATCATCAGAGTTCTTTGTTTAGATTCTTCAGGAGATATAGCAGTGTCTAGTGCTTCTAGGTCCAAAGCAGATATTACGCTCTGCAAGATTATTGTTAGAAATTTAGTCCTTTTTGGCCTATGATTTAGAAGGATTTCGATGCCAGTCTTCCCAGAAGAAGCAAGGAAAGCTAGCAAAATTATTGAATGCCTTTGAACCTGTAATTCCTCAACGCTTTTACCACTACAAGATAGGCAATCAACCAATCCCTCAAAAATCTTACAGGTCACTTGAGAATCTGAAATAGTTTTTGGGTTTACATCAGCAGTGTCTATGCATTCCGCTCCCGTGAAATTGTGGAAGAATGATGCCATAACTTTTGGGCAATTCAGTAACAGGTAAAGAAGGCGCACAGCTTGCTTATTTACACGGTAGCCAGCATCCTTTTTCAATAGTTGTGAAATACTTTGAAACACCTCATTTGATCCAAACTTTTCCCTATCCAAGGGTGTATTCTTTCTTACAAGAATCAAATTCATAATACAAACTGCTTCCCATCTGATATGCTCTAAACTATTCGTCAGTATAATTTGGGACATCAGTTCAAACAATGACAGATAGTTGAAACATGAAGTGAATACGCAAGTTACAGTGTTGAAGGGTCCCACCCTGGGAGCTTTATCACTGTTATCCAACCGAACTCCACAAGTAGCATGGTTATGATCTAATGTCTCTTTGGAATGGCTTCCTCTTCTAGAAGATCCGTCTTGATCTGTTTCCACGACAATCACATTGGACCTTTGATCGTCCTTCATTTCTGTAAAGGAACTGTAGCTTAAAACTTCATGCAGTATATGCAGAGCCCTGAACATTACAACATCATTTTTAAGCTGGCAAAGATCAACTAATGCATCTAGTAGATCATCCAATCTTGTCATCTCATTGCTGATCTTCGTCAACACAGAATAAAGATGAGATACTTTTGCAGATACACTGGAATGATCTGGCAGCATGTTTTCCTTCATAGCAACCCTAGAGTCAGAAAGGGAACTTTCCATTCTCATATTGGAGGGGAGACTTGAATCCAGGAATCCAAAGAGGACCAGAAAATCAGCATTGCAAGTTTCTAACAACTTTGAAACAAAAATCCTCCCTAGATTTTGGCCAGTCAATGAGCCCCATGCATCTAACAACTTTTTCTTAATCGTGGACGAAAAATCACTATCACTCGTTGAGTAGGTAGATGAGCTGACCTTTTCAGTAGGGACAGCATTGGTCTCCTTTTTGTGCGTTTCCTTTCTCAACATAATGCATTCCCGTTCCTTATGAGCAAGCAGCTCTGAAACACGGTCAAGCTCTCCCTTCAATCTATCAATTTCTTGTTCTTGAACACTGCAATTAGAACCCGAGGATGTACAGGTTGCGGCATCTTGATTAGCAAACTGAGGCAACTTCAGTGGAAGTGCAGAATTGATGTCGACGAACTGCGACCCTGTGGCCGCCGGCTGCGGTTGAGTAGGAAGGAAGTTGTGCTGTGTAGTGGCAAGCTCAAGCGCCTCATCAACGGCTCCGAGGAAGGCGGGGTCGAGCCATAAATCATCATCCTCAAAACCCTCGTTTGCCATTGCCCTCCCCACCCGACTCCCAAATCGATTATATACAGTACAACCGAAAAATCATTGTCATTTGAAATGATTACTCTCCGAGTTGCAAAATTTGTTTTTTTGTTTGTCTCAAAATGTTTTCCATTTCCTATTTTAGGTAGGTAAATAAGAATAAAGTGATAAATTTACTTTTCTCCATTAACTTAAAGACATCTACTTTTAGAAAAATGGACAAAAGTGTAAAAATCAAGCATCATTTATTGTCATTTCTTAATTCTTGTGCCGGTCAAAGTTTGCAATTCAATTCGGGACGAAGGGAGTTGAATATTATTCTCTCTGTCCCATTTGACTTTGTCAACTTTCCTTTTTTGTTTGTCTCAAAAAACTTTGTCACTTTTCTTTTAACGCAATGTTTTTGTGGCTCTGTTCATTTCTCTCTCCTCTGCACAAACCTCAACCACACAAGTTTTCCCATTCTAATTTCCCACCTAACATCAACTTCACAAAGTTGAGTGGGACGGAGGTAATATAAAAGTTACTACCTCCGTCCCGATGGACTTTGCCAAGTGCAAAGTAAGTGAGAAATAAGAATAGTAAAAACTGTGTGGTTGAGATTTGTGTAGATGAGAGAGAAATGTGCAGAACCACAAATTAGTTGCTTTATTAGTAAAGTGACAAAGTTTTTTGGAACAACCCAAAAAAGAAAGTTGACAAAATCCAATTGGACGAAGCGAGTATAAATTTTATAAAATTATTTTTAACAAAGAACAAATATATTACAAATAATTTTCAATAAAAAAATATAATTGATCAAAATTTTAAAATTGGCAAAGTTTTTTAAAACGGAGATAATATATACTTCATCTGTTCCCCTAAATTTGTCCCATTTTACCTTTTTTTAACCGTTCCATTAAGTTTGTCTCATACCATATTTGATAATATATGAGCGACTACAATTCATTCTTACTTTATTCACGTTTTATCAATTCAATATCAACCACACAATTCTACTTTTTCTTAAAAACCACACCTCTTTGTCCCAAACTTTGAAGGACAGAGGTATACTTCGTATATAATTAGGGCCTGACAAAATAGCCAAAAATTTAAGGACTCCCTTATAGAGTCATATGAGGTATTGTGGCACCACCATCACTATTCATTTATTTAATGATGATGAATAGTCATATGGAGTTATATAAATCTACTCGACAAAACAGTGGTTCAATGTTTGGTAGTTTACATGTTAAAATCAAATTTTTGCACGCTAATTGATTGCATGCAAATTGGGTGTTTGGAAATTGACTTTCCGCAAAAAATAGTTGTTTGATCCCTTTGAACGTTTTTAATAAATGAAAACGTTGTTTGGTAAATAGTTATTCGAATCTAGCTTTTGGACAGAAGTGCTGAAATGGAAATGTGACAAATTTGAGAGTTTTGAGTTAGCATTTTGAAATATGACCTTTTCTACTAATTTCTGGGGTAAACAACTAAATTACCAAACATCTTCTCGCAAACCGCCAAATTATTCCATTAGTCATATTCGCTGACCGAAACTGGTATTGATAACATGCTAACATGACACGTTATCTGCTAACCGCTAAATGCCAAACATGACCAAAGTTTAGAGAATCAATAACTTTGCATGTAAAATAGATGACACTATTTGACTAGATGTGTAATTTATTTTTAATTTGCACGCAAAGACTGCAGTCCTTTATAAAAAACATGAAAAGTATTTTACCACCCACCCCCGACTTTACATGGTACAATGCAAAATGCTTTTAATAAGTGCCATACAGTTTACATTAAATAATCAAATCAAACGGTGTCTGTTTACGCCCCTCCACTTTGCATTCAAAGTAACTATTTTACATCCCACCAGACACGTTCTAAAATTTGCCAACAATTTGTTTAAATCGAATAATTTGATTTATTTAAAAAGACGTAATCTGAATCGAACAATTTTTTATATTTATTAAAATACTTTTTATTCACCAAACATCGTTTGTATTCATTCTTCATCTTTAAGAGAAAAAAATACTCCATAACTTGGATATGAAAAAGATGTTTAACATTTACCAGTTTAACTTTTACACGTTTCATATACTCAATATGATAGAGATAGCTAATATAACATACTTGCATTTCATTCTTATCTTTTATTTATTTTAACATCTTGTTTAAATAAGAAATAAAATAAGGTGAGGTGCAATAAATTTCCGTCTTGGAATTTTAACAAATACATCACTTAATACTCTCTTCATCCCCAAAACGACTCCCCGCTTTGACTTGCACACATTTTTATGTAAGTTAAAGTGGGAAGATGACCTTCCCAAAATACCCCTCCTGAGAGGTAGAAGCCGTCGAAGGGAAAGAAGGAAAAGGGATAAAGAAGGGGTGAATGAACAATACTTTGGGGGGTTAACCGTGCATTGGTAAAAATAATTAAGTCTAATAAAAACCTTTGAGGGGATTGAAAGGTTGTACATACATCATATTTACGTATATTTGACCTTCTACACTATTAATCACCACACAACTTTACAAAGTTTCCCTCCAATAAAATTTACTATTCACCCGATTACAAAATTTCCCTCCACTCATTTCTATTTATACTAGCTGAACTACCACTATAAGAACAATTATCATGCAGCCTAATTGTCCCATGGTTACATTGAAACAAGAAATGAAGAGAGAAGATGGCAAAGTGAAAGTGCAGGCTAACAAATGAAGAGAGGGGATGCATAGTACAAACTCTTTTAGCTCATTGCACAAAGGGTAAACTTCACATGGGCATAGTAAGTAAGACAATACTGAAGTACAACATATCAAGACACACATTCAACTACTTTTGGACTAAAGCAAGAGATCAAATGGCCTAGGGAAAGTGCATCAATGTGGACAACATTCAAAAGGGAAATGTATGTAGGAAAAGGTTAACAATTGGCTTAGAAATCATTAAGGACATCCCATTACATAAGAGAAAGAGTATCAGAGCTTTAGGATATGTCATGCACATTTCAAAGTCTAGTGAACACAGACCGGTGAAAGCTAATCACATAAAAAGACATTCAAATGCAATCAAACCCTTGTTGACCGAGGTGGGGAAACTTAAAAGGTTATATTCTGTTTAACACACATTCACTGGCCCACTCTCCAAACTACCCCCATTTTTCATCACTTTTATGATTACCTTCACATTGATGCGAAGTGGTTTTTCCTGTCAAGAGGAACCACTTTCTTTTACACTCACCCTAGTGAAGAAGATCTTTATAGGTTTGCTCAGTCCAAAAAAAATTATACCTGAGATAATGTTTTTAGCAGTAGAATGCAAACCAAGATTTGGTGAGACTGGGTAGGTATTATGGGATGGGAAGATAGTGATATTCCCTTTCACATTTGAAGATATAACAAAGAGATCAAGTAAGAATAGATGTACAGGCACATTAGAGACAAAACCCTCTGAGTGTCACAAGACTTCTAATGAAGGAAATGATGATGCAGAGTGTTCTGCGTGCAATCAAGTCTAAGCGGTCAGATGCATTAAATAAAAGGGTTATAATTCAACATGACAATGCAATACCGCACATAGATGTCAAAGATGAAGAGCTTGTTAATAGTGCAACAGAGAATGGATGTGACATACAACTTACATTCCAACCACCCAATATCCGAGATCTTAATGTCTTAGATCTGGACTTTTTCAGGGTGATAGACTATAAGTCTAGAGAGAAGTGAGAACTAGAGAGAGAAGTAGTATATTTGATTTGTATTAATGAATTGTGAACCCTTTACATGGCTCCCAAGGGGAGTATTTATAGAGGAAATTAGGGTTGGACTCCCAAATCTTGGGCTTAGGAGGCCCATTTACAATTGGCCCACTACTGGGCCGAGTACAAAGAGTGTAAAAATAACTAAGTATGAAATCCGGTTCTGGAAATTCGGCCAAAAGAGGTGCCTAACCGATGGAGACACGGCCGACGGAGGACCATCCGAGCTGATTGCTGCCTGGGCCATATTCTAAACTGACTCTTGCCTGGCCGACGGGGGTACCGGTCGACGGAGGCACTGGCCGACGGGGGCACCGGCCGATGGAGGACAATTCTTCTCCTTGGCTTCTGGACCGTATTCTGGATCGACTCTTCTTCGGCCGATGGAGGGCCACCTGGCCGAAGGAGGACCCACTAGGTGACAGTTGTGCTTTCTCTTAGTCTTCTGAGTACATGGGTCATGGGGTCTGGACCCATATACTCCATCAGGAGTCCCCCACTCTTTGAGCTGAGATGCAGATGAAGTGAAAGGGAGTAGATCCTTGTCGTTCTAACGCTTTGGCCGACGGAGGTTTACTTGGGATTTGTAGTGTTCCTGGCCGAGGCGGTGCCATAATTGTTGGCTGCCTTGTCCTTCATTTCGAGGACGATGAATGTTCTTCATTCCGAGGACGATGAATGCCCTTCATTTCGAGGACGATGAATGTCCTTCTTTTTGGGGACGATGAATGTCCTTCATTTTGAGGACGATGAATGTCCTTCGTTTTGAGGACGATGAATGTCCTTCATTTTGAGATAGATAATCACGCATTGGCCGAGGGTCCGGTCGTGATGTGATGAAGGGCAAGGCGTTGACGCCAGACTGAACGTGACGTCGGCGAAGCCGTTCTGATGATGAGGGCGGCGCTGGGCACTCATCTGAATGTGAGGGACGGCGCTGGGCGCTCGTCTGAAGATGAGGGACGGCGATGGGTGCTCGTCTGAAGATGAGGACGGCGTTGGACGCACGACCCTTAATGGAGAAGGCGTTTGATGAAGCACTTCGCCGAGTAGACTCAAGGCTCTCGGCGCTGAGGAAGCCGACCTTGAGATAAATAATCACGCCGAGGCCGAGGGACCGCGCGTGGTTTAAGGATGACGCCGATGATGAAGCCGGTCTAAATAAATGATGACGAGGCATTTGATGAAGCCGTTCGTCATGTAAGCTCAAATCTCTCGATGCTGAGGATGCCGACCTTGAGATAAAGGCTCAAGCTAAGGCTGAGGAGCCGTTCGTGATCTGAGGACGACGACGATGATGAAGCCGATCGTCATACAAGCTCAAGACTCG